TTACAAAATATTTACAACCACAGATGAATATAGAGTGGAGGGATTTCTGGAGGCCATCTAGACACCACCCCTGTCATAGCAAGACTAGCTTTAAAGTTACCTCCAGCTGTCTGTTAGATCAGGTCCTTGTCCAGCTGAGCTGTGGCAGTCCTCAGGGATGGAGAGATCAGAGTCTCTGTGGTTAACCTGTGAAGAATGGGTCTGCATGAATATTCATTCCCTGCATTTAACTGAAATCTCTCTTGTGGCAACTGTGACTATTTCCTCTTTTTCCTTCCTCTGCATCTTTGAGAAATGCCTAACTTTGTCTTTCTTATAGCTACCCTTCAGGTAGTTGAACATAGCAAATAGTCCTTCTCTTTTCAAGGTTAAAGAAACCTAATTTCTTAAGCCATTCCTTGTTGATAATGGAATCCAGAATCACAGCTACACTTTTGAGCTTGACAATCTGGTAAATTTAATACTCACCAAAGAGTGCACCCCTCCAGTGCATATATTCTCATTATGACTGTGAGGATACTAAAGAAACTGTGCTGCAAGTTTTCCTAAAGCTGATGTAAATGATTTAAACCCCATCCCACCCATGGTCGCAGACACTGCTATTTCAACACGGAAAAAAAATCTGTTTGATCAGGGAAAATTTATCCTGATTTATTACACATTATTTATCCAGACTCTGTTACCAATTATCTTGTCCCATTGTGTGCCTGAAATTGCTTCTACATATAAAACTCCTTTATCAAGAAGCCCTGGAAAGTACCTAAAGAAGCAACCTCTGTGCTCCAGCAAGATTTCACACTCTTCACCACAGCAGAGATAAGAATAGTAGAAGTGTTTGGATTGGAAAGAGTCTTAAAGGACCATCAGTCCTACTTCCATGGCCAGGGTTTGCATCCTCTAAAGTGGAATACCAAGAATGGGACAAGCTGCATGACAGACAACTTGCAGTTTGACTTACAGTTTCTCAAGGAGTTCTGTACTCCCCAGGTCAGGAGCTACAAGAAAAAAGGTATGATTTACAACACACCCTCACTTGGTGTGTTGTAAAATAAAAAAATTGATTTTTTGAATCCTGGTTTTGGATCTTGAATTCAATGTGCACTGGTATTGACATTAGAGTTGTGAGTCGTCTAATATATCTGGTTATTTTAGTGCCTAAATTTGTCACTTTAATCCTTAACCTTTGTGTGCCACATTGATATTTGGGAAATCCACTGTGCTTCAATGGTACTCACAGAGTAGGCAGAATTGAAGGTGACATAAACATAAACTTAATGATGATGGGAGAAGTTTGAGGCTGGAGTCAGGAAGATCTGACATAAGTGTGCCTCAGTAAATTTGCAGCCTTGAGTCACACCCTCAGAATTCTCACACATTGTCAGGCAGAGAATACGTCTCAAAAGCAGTAAATACAGACAGAAAATATTTTAAAATAGCAAATAGGAAATTCAAAGAAAGTAGCAAGCCTTAGATACCATATATATTTTTGTTAGGAAGGTGAGTCAATATAGGAATATGAAGCTGAGTTATTATGTTATATCTAAAAGAAGGCTAAGGAAAAACTTTTTGTTCTGAAAACTTACTAGAGTCCTAGATTTGGTTTTGAAGTTCCCATGTTCTGCTCTTGCTCTGGACATAGATGTTCACAATTACAGACCATTGGTTATGCAGAGCAAAAGATTGTGCATTTCAGAAATCCCTTATTCGTTTTGTAAGAATATTCAGAGTATGTGAGATGATAAAATAATTAGAGAGGTATTTTCTAGCAAGTGTGAATGCCTGGACAGTAATCAGAGGAGACATGAATACCGGGAGGTGTTTCTTCTTCTTTTCAGTGGCCTGGGCTTATTTGGGTTAAAGCTGAACAAAAAAGAATATGTGTTTTTATTCCTTTTCTTCCTCTGCATTCTGTGAGTGATAAAACTTGAGCTGTGCTGCCAAAATAATCACAGCTTAAAAAGCTGCTTTTAGGGATGAGGATTATCTCAATTATCACAGCTCTTCCAAAGGTATGAGCATAGAGGACATCAATCTGATAAGACAAAAATCCTTGTATGTTGTGTTCCCATATCTATAAATTCTATAATACACCCAGAGGCAGCAGTTCTAGTCACACTCATGCTGTGCCTTACCCGTTCAAGTAAGAGATCAGGAAAATTCTGAGTCCTGAAGCCATGGAATTCTGATACCAAGACCCGACTGTAAATTATCTGCCTCTTCATTGGAGGTTAACAAGGGAGCATCTCTGCTGCAATTCCACCATGGCAAAACAGACACCTTGACCTTCTTGAATCCTAGAAATGCTCCTGGTGGTAGGCCAGGGTGTAGACAGCATGCAGAACCATCCTTTTGCAGTACAGCAACCACTGAATGGTGTGCAGCATTCACCAGTTTCCTTTCCAGACCCGGGTACAGACTGTGCTGACATGATACCAACAAGATGGATCCCACAGAGAGCTCAGCTGTTCCTGATCATCCTGCACATCTCTGATTGTGACTGAAACAGCTCCTTGATGTGCAATGGAAAGATGCAGATGTTGCTGATACCCTGCCAGCAAAGTGCACTGTTTCTAACCAGGACATGTCTGCTTAATTGTTTTATGTGCACATGACTTTCACACAGCATAAGAGCACTTGACTCTCTCTCCTCTGTTCAGATACTTACAGTGTCTTCATAACACCCTCCTGCTCCTTCTGACTTCTTCCCCATGTAATTAATTCTTACACCCGCTTAAAATCACAATTTGACCCTTCTATAAATACCCTGGAAATCACATTTGTGGAAGAAGTCACAATGTGGTTTGTAGAGTTGGGGGACCAGTGACTACATCTGACTGCAATACTTTTACCTTCCATGGGCCTCACCTCTGTCAAAGCTTGGAAGGTTTGACCATCACACCAAGACTCTGAGCAAGCTGATGTACGCAGAAGCAGTATGGCAGCCTCACTCCTCTCAAAAAGAAAGTTGGATCTTGCCTGCCTGTAACATTTCTTCTGTTGCTATTCTTTTTCAATTAAATAACTATAATAATGGGAAATGACATAATTGGTTGATTTGGTTTCTGGAGACATAACACGTGTCTTTTGAGCTGAACAGACTCACAAAGCAGCAGACAGCGGAAATGGCAGCAAGAGACAGAATACTGTATTAGACTGGAGTCAAGACAGAGCTGTTAAAAGTTAAAGGGCAAAGAAACTTCCTCTGTGGACTCAAAATATGTATGCTGGTGTTACTCTGATATCATTGACAAATCCTTTGTGATCAGGTACCTCAGTTATACAAGGCTGTCAAATTGAATATTAGACTAATTTACTAATCCTGTCTCTGTTTGGCACTGAGTCCGTCTGGCTGAATGCTGTAATCCTGTTCTCAGGTATAACTGCTCTAATGTTGCTGTGTCTTATGAGTAACAGGATGTACCTTAGCCATTATAAAATGAGCTGATTTTGAAAACAAATAGAAGATAAAATAGGCTAAAGATTTCAATTCATAAAGCTGTGAAACCTGATGAAGAGAACTGTCTTTTCAAAGATCAAGTACAGCTATTTGCAGCAAAATTGCAGGAAATAAGTAGGTTTTACTCTCTTGTGTGGTGGTTTTGAGCAAGCATCCATGCTTGAATAAGGTTTTAAACAAGTACATTTTCTACCTTTGCAGAGGCTGCTAAACTGGTTGGTAAGCTGAGGGGCAGTGTGGGAGCAACTGTTTAAAGGACCAACATTGTTCCCTCTGCCCTTACTCAGCCAACACCTTTCTCTCTCACTTTGCAAGGAAGGGGACAGGCACAAGATGGAAAAGAGAGAGAAAATGTGTAGATCATTAAAAATATAATGAGGTGAAGCAAAGAGCACTTGAAAGTTGGGATCTGGCAGACAGGCCAAACTCTTGAAGCAGCAGAAAGCATTATTGATAGGTGATATCAATAATAAATGTGAATAGGAGGTAAGAAACAGCAAGGAGGATGAAAGTGCAGATCTGTACTTAAAGAAGAGGGATGGAACATGCTTGGGCTAATGAGACAGTGGCTGCTGCACTAAGGGCAGGGGGTTACTTTCTTCAACTTCTCCTTTGGCCTTGCAAATGCAGGAAGGAAGTGGGAAGATTACGGGATCTTCCTTTCTTGTTCTCCTGCTGAAGAAATCTCTCATTTTCTCTGCTTCGCTGAGGTCAAGGTATTTATTTAGTAACAGCTCTTCTAGAGAAAAAGCAATGGTAAAATTTCCAAGAGCAGAAGGTGGAAGAGCAAAGTTAAATTGTAGAGCTGGAGATGCAGACACAGCAGCAGCTCTGTAGGGAGATGCTGCAATTCATGTTCAGGAGAGGAGTGCAGGGTGGTTCTTAGCTAGGGCCAAACCATGCACACCATCTTAACCAGAAGGCACTGCTTGGATGTTTCCTTCAAGCAGGGCAACCAAACCATTCTTTTTTTGTCCTGTCTTCCGTGTTTGTGATAAATACATCCTAGTACATCTCAAATTAGTGTTCATGCGAAGGTAAAATAAGATTATTATCAATACTGGCCAACTAAGATTTACAGAACTGCACTGATGAGAAATTGTTGCTAGTGAGATAGAAGTTGATCCTGTTGCTATTGACTTTTGCAGAGCTGGGGAATCAGTGTCTGTAGTTATCTTCACACGTCATCTCAGTGCACTTCATCAAATATCACACATCTTTTAAGGAGCATCTCTGGAATCCCTGAGTGCTCCAAAGATACAAAATGTCCCTGGAAAACTCATGTGATTTCCACTAAGGATTTCAGAACCTCCTCTCAGGATGGAAAAGTAATGAGTAAGTTGCTCTTCTTGTCTTGATTTTGTATTTCTAATCAGGAATATGAAAACAAAATTATATATTGGCTGATGTCTTCTTCAGAACTCCCCAGAAAGCAGGATTAAAAACCAGAATATTGGTATTTTGGGAGAAAACATTCTAACTCTATAGTGAATCATCTCTATTTAACTAACTCATATGCTTTTTCCTGTTTGTTTCCAAGCAGCACTGACCCTTCTCCTCCACTCCAGATCACGGGATATTCTGAGGAGGAAGGGATCTACAAGGATCTTCAAGCCCAGCTCTAAAATGAACAGCTCATATGAGGATTAAATCTACAAACCTTGGTGTTAGGAGCATCTGCTCTGACCAACTGAGAAAATCTCAGGATCATTCTCTTGGTAACTTCTGAAGATGTGAGTTCTAAAACAGACTGGGTGCACCCATCAATCTCAGACAATCTCTGCCAATCAATGATGTGTTCTCCTCTGTATAAGTGAAAGGCGGATCAAGAAAAGAGGATTTGAAAATATAATTAATTTTTTTAAGGACTGAATAAATTAGAAGTGATAGTAATATATAAAGAAGAAATAAAAACCTGTTTCCAGCAGCTGTTGCAAAGAGATACTCTTCTCCAAAAAAACATATTAAAATCACATCTTTTTAATAGGTATTTAGTTTAGATATATTCATTGAGGTTTTTGCCTTTCCTCTTTTCTTTATCCTTAGACTCAGGAGAGAAAGTTTGATATAAGACCACAGTGAATGATATTTTTTTTTTCTGTTTACAGAGTATTTGCAACTGGATATCCTTCGGGGGAGTTTTCTAGGGTGTAATTTCCATGAAACTAGGGAGAAATGGAATTATTTCCTGTCTCAAACTAAACTGAATTTATCCGTTACAAAAATCTAAGTTGTTTCTTAGTGCTGCCTCCGGGTGTTGCAGTACTCTCTCCTACTTGTGAGGGCTCATTTTCACCCTTGAGAACTTCAGATAAGTTACCCCAGAGAAGAATTAGGTTATATAGGTTTTAAACAATGATTTAGAGCCTAGTACCTAGAATAAAGGGCAGTAAACCCCTGCAATATCATTTAGTCTGGGCAGCAGTCAGTGCAGTGTTGTGCCTTTTAGATATCGTTAAGTGCACATTATGTAGTGTCCATCCCCCAAGAGCCTCCTCCACAGTCCAAGTGCCTGCACTGCCCAGGAGCATTTCTTGACACTCACTGTACCACTTGTCTCACTTAATATCATCCCATTACTCTTAGTTACAGCCCCTTGATTCACTTTTTTTAAAACCTCACATTTTGGCTGCATAAACCTGCCATACATTTAGAGGCAGATTCATGTTGTGTTAAACAACACACAGAAAGCACAGCACACACTTTGCAGTGGACAGTGTCCTCACTTCAGCTTGTGAAAAGAAGTAAAGAATAAACCTTAACAGATTGTGTTTGGCTACAGGTGGTGTAATGAGCTGAGCCTTGGGTTCAGCTCCTCTGATCCCAAAACACACATTTGAAAAATTTGATAAGTTATGTAAAAGTCCATACTGCAGATACTTAAACCAAGGTGATATAGGACAAGGAGGAAGTTCCAGTTTAACTGAAAGAAACCAGTTTTAGATTGGATATTAAGAAGAAATTCTTTACTGTGAGGGAGGTGAGACACTGGCACAATTTGTCCAGAGAAGCTGTGGATGCCCCATCCCTGGGATTTTTCAAGGCCAGGCTGGATGGTGCTGGGAGCAACCTGGTCTAGTGAAAGGTGTCCCTGCAGGGTTGTTGGAACAAGATAATGTTTAAGGTTCCTTCCAACCTAAATATTTCTATGATTCTGTAATACACATTTCACTGTAGGTCACTGCGACAAACCATCCCAAAAAATGTCAGCTGTCTCAAAGGTGGAATTCTCTCCAGCACCAAGGAAAGCAGAGCACAGAGAAAAGGTCAACAGCACCTCATCCTTCCCCATTGTCACCACTGCATAGCCTGGATTATCACCCCAATTTCCATAATTTGTGTCATTATTCTACAAGTTTCTTTATATTATAATTCCAGCCTGAAAGTGTCCACCCAGTTACTTTTCCTCTAAACTCGAAGTAGCCTCTCCCCCACAGGACTTAAGGGATAATATGGACATCTTGCCTGGTCTGTCTTTGGGACATGCTTTTTTATAAAGCCCCAGCTGCAGGTTTGATGAGCACCCAGTGTTGCTTTCTCATATAATAAATGTATGTGTATAGGCATGAGTTTAGGCATTCTTTAATCTTAATTTGATATAATGATTAGTAAAGAAAGCAAGTTAATCACCCAGGTTTTATATCTTACAGTAGGGAGTTAAGTACTTAGACCTGTATTCTACTCTTGGTATTAACGTGGAGAAAATAAACTGTTTTTTCTGACACTGAGTCATTTTTTTTTCCCTTAGCTGAGCTTTTTTTGTGACTGTTATCTGTATCTTCAAGTGTAAGCATGTGTTATTGTGGACAGCCAGAACCAAATGTTTCAGTATTGCCTCAGTGTGCTTGCCATCCCTCTCTGACTTCAGCCTATGTATAAATTACAGCATTTGCTGCCATAATGCAATTTTAAAAGTAACTTTTTCCTTGCTGAAGGTCAAAAGGACAAAAGGTCATTCTACACCAATTACTTTTCCCAACATTTAAAAAGAAATATTCAGGTCATGTTATTTAAAAATTGCCCCTCTCCTACCCCCTCAATATTTATTTTTTTTACTTCCTGCCAATTGTACTTTGCCAAGGAGTTGCCATCATATTGGTAAGAACTGTGTGTTGTGCTGTTCTTCTGACCTGTGGGCAAAAAAGAAGTTCTCATCAGAGAAAACATCCTGCTTTTCTGTAAGAAAACATTTTCCTTAATGGGAAAAAAAAAAAAAAAAAAGGTGAGCTGGAGTGAGCAAGTATTTTCAAGAACGCACTGGATATTTTTCTGCAATCAATAATGTATCATTTTGGAAATGGAAAGTTATATCTGTCAGCCTCCTGGCTAGGAAATGTCATATTAATCCTGACTTCACATGGACACTGTGACAGTGACTCCACCCTTGATAAACCATTTAGTGTCTGTTCAGTCTAGTGAAGAATCTTCAGACTATCATTCCACTGTGATGTGGCTTTAGCTAATAAATCAGTCAGTGAATCTTTTTCCTCTCTTCCCTCCCTTCACCACATTAATATTGATTATTTGGAGGTAAGGAGTCCCAAGGAGTGGAAGTGGATACGCCTCATTGCCTCGAACAATTCTTTTCCCTCTATTGGGACAGTACAAGGTAAATTAATAGTGTGCTTGCAGACACTAGATAATGTTAATGTACTCGCTATTGATAGAGTGAAATAACATGAGTAACTTCAGCTTTGCTTAAAACAAAACATTAATTTTCCAAGGCCACTAGGATTTATGCAGCTGGTTGGTGTAACACATACAGTCTTTGCTTTTTAATATGCAACATTTGCGTTTTTAAACACGAGGCAGGATTTTATTGCCAGATGAAAGACAAAAGGGGATTTAAATTCACTGCTTATGCTCTCAAGCTCTTGTCTGCCTTTAATCTAAGTCTCTGCTCGATTTTGTGGGTAGGAAGATGCCTTTTCTACAAGGAAATAATACAGAGCAGTCTTATCCCCCTGTGATCCTCTGACTATGTAAAAATGCATAGGAAATCTGTAAGTGCAAAAGCTATACTTCTGTATATGTTTCAAAAAAAGTAAAGTCAACTTTCTCATTTCACTGAGCTTGAGTTAATATTACTGTTAGCATCTGGTACAGTGCTGTGTTTTGGATTTAATATTAGAATAACCTTGATAACAAACTGATGTTTTGGTTGTTGCTCAGTAGTTCTTTCTCTAAATCAAGGACTTTGCAGTGTCTCACGTGCTGCTGGGGAGCAGGTGCACAAGAATCCCCAAGAGAGCAAGGCCAGGAGAGGTGACCTGAACAGGACAAAGGAATATTCCACAGCACAGAATGGCATGCCCAGTATATAAACTGGTCATGAGAGGACAATTGCTGCTGGTGGACAGGCTGGGCAGTGGTCAGTGAGTGGCGAACGATTTTTACTGTGCATCACTTTTTTGTCTTGGATTTTATTCCATTCTCTTTCTTCTTCTTCTTCTTTATCTTCTTCTTTTTCTTCTTCTTCTTCTTCTTCCTTCTTCATCTTCTTCTCATTCCTTTATTTTGATTATTAAACTGTTCTTATCGCAACCCATGAGGTTTGTTTTTGGTTTTTTTTTCCAGTTTTCTTCCCAATCTCACTGTAGGTGGAGGGGAGTGAGGAAGCTGCTTAACAGTATTTAGTTGCCATCTGGTGTTAAACCTGACAAATGTGCTAAAAACAAAGGCATTGAGGAAAGCTCCACTTTCACATCCATCCATTTGGCTGCTCTGGGAAATTATGGCAGACATGTTGGACGAATTAGTGGGTATTTTACAACAGCATGGACCTCTGCTAGCTTGAACCACAGTCAGTGTTTGAGACACAAGGCTTTCTTGATCCTGAGACAGATTTGAAGTTCCTGCAGTCCACAGCATGGATTTCTCCCACAGTCACCCTGCCTTTGGTGCACGAGGAGCATCTCCCATGCTGTGATGGGAAACGCAGAGGAAACTGCTAGTGTGGAATGTAGGTGAATCTAATGTCAGGTTGGAGATGGCTGCAGATCTGCAATTCAGCCTAGCAGGGGTCACAGCACAGCAGCCTGATGGGAGGCAGGGAAAGCATTGCCATGCAGGGTTGGCCTCAGGTTGCCATTTCCCTTCTGGTCCCACCAGTTTGCTGCACAACTCTGTGACTCACCTGAACTTAGAGTTTACCTATCTCTAACACCAGCATAAACTCTGGGTAGAAATTGAATTCTAGCAATTTTGGCTCTGCTTTTCTCCTTGCTCTCTGAACCTAATTTCTACAAATGTGTTTCTAGTTCATAAATACTCATGGAATAGCTCATGTAAACAAATTTTGTCTGCACATTATTCATGCTCTGTTTGCTTTGATTGTGCAAGTTCCTGTATATGTGAATGGTCATAGAAGTCACATACTGTTACTTCTGGTACCTGACTGGATGACTGTTTTTTAGATAGGATAATGAACAGCTAGTAATAAATAACAAACTATATAGAGTGAATATTTGGAGGAATAATTACGTGTGCTGGAAATCACAAAACTTTCAGGATTTGCCAACTTTCTCCCTTCCAAATGAACTGGTATTCAGTTGAAAGCTCATGAATGATAGATAATCTCATCTCACAAATAATGACAGTTCAAACCTC